ACTGTCCACTATTTTCTCCGAGGGTCCGGGGTTCAAGTCTTGGTAAGGCAGCATATTTTTTAAACTTGTGACAGTAACATAAAAAGAAAGGTACCAAGCATTTAATGTTGCTTAATAATAATATAGCATATTAATACATATTATGCGCATGTCAAAAAATTTCAATTTTAAGTGATATGATAAATATTTTCTGTTGCACTGTCTTTGTAAATCTAATAAGTTTACATTTTACACATGATTCACAAATTCTTGGGAGTCCCACACTTGAGTGGCCTTCCCATCTTGCACTAATGGAGGTGCATGAGGTTGACCGGTTTCCTTATTTTCCTCATTTTTTCCCTCTCGATTACAGTTTTAGACCCTAAATAAAAGTGCATTCTTAATATTTATATATACTGTACTCATATATTGTAATGCCCTAGAAATTTTAGATCTACCTTTTTTGTGATTTCACTGGATTTCAGTATTGTTAATTTCTACTTTCACTTTCGTTTAGGGAAGCTGGCGACAACACAGTAAATCATGCGGTGTCCCAATGAAACATACAGGACATCAACTTAAATCTACGCATTGTGCCAGCAATTTAATCCTTCCTGATTCTGGAAGCTTTTCCCTTAGATGTTATCCGTGGTAGAATCCTGTGTTTTGTGACTTCTGTCAAAATAGTTAATTCCTTTATTTTACACTCAAGATTTTAGAGTTCGATTGTTTATGATGCAGCGTCACTTAATATACTGCCTCATAAATCCATCTGATTTTAATTGTTAGCACTGTATATTTATGATAATTTGCAATGCACTTTTAATTCCATGTCGGCCATGTTGCGGACTATTACGTCGGCCTACGTAGTGAATGCAAGGGATAGTCAAGGGATAGTTCTTTATCCGATTGCGCATAAAGATGAACCTACTTTCGAAATTAGCGCATGATAGCTTGTAATTTTTAAAAATCATTAGTTGAGGCTGTCACAAAAAAAATTTTGGTGCTAGGTTGAGTGCATTTCAGCTCAACATTTCTACAGTGTAGCTATCGCTAAACGATCTAGATCTTAATCGTAGCTAAAGTTGTTGAAAACTTAATATGATTTCGATATTTTAATAAAGGTTTAGAAACGTTTTCATTTTGCGTGCGTTTCAGCGTGCGTATATCGTATAGCGTATTTCGTCTAGCGTATATCGTTTTGCGTGCGTCTGCGTATTTCGTTTCGTATAGCGTGCGTACGTATAACGTTCGTTAGTATATCGTATAACGTGCGTGCGTTTTTTCCAATAGCGTGCGTTTTGCGTGTAAACTGAAACGTTCACCCTACTATGTCGTCCCTTCGTGTTTTCGCATTTTGAGGCGAAGACGCGAAAATATACGGATGGCGTAAATCAGCCACCATACATAATCCATTCAAGGCGAATTTCTCAAGCATGTCGAAAGGATGTCCGGAAATGTGTTAATATAAAACGCTGATATTTCGTGTGTTGATAAAAATACTGTTTAGATTCTATATGGTTTTGAAAAAAAAACCTGTTTCTATGTAACTTTTCACGGAAATGGACTGTACAATGATTGCGTAAAAACAATAAAATGTCGGGTGTAGAAATCGAAAGGCATTTTGTCACGTGACTTTTGCCCATGCTACCGAAAACTACCCATCACAATATCACGGCGTTGAGACGCCGTGAAATAAAATACTTCCTTAATAATTGTTTTGTTTTGATTTCGTTATATTCATTACTATAAATAAAGAAGTTTCCACTGTTAAGAGGATGACTTGTTTATTCTATAAGTGAATGGTAGTTAGACTTCGTACGTTTATTATGATATGAGCCACGTCATGACACAACCAACATAATGGGTTTGCGACCAGCATGGATCCAGACCAGTCCATGCTGGACGCAAACGCATTATGTTGGTAACGTTTTAGTAACATACGTCTACCGGTTTAATAGGTAAAGATTTTTAAGCTTACCATCTACACAGTGTATATCCAGTAACGCCGGAATGTGAAAATAACGCACGACTCGTGCAATAAGTAACGCAGAATTGTTCAATGAATGGCGGATACCTGACACGATTTCCAACGCGGTATGATAACTAGCCAATATATATTTTATTTAACCGAACTGAAAAAAAAATCATTATTATTCTACTATTTTTCACTTAACTGACAAGTTTAATTACGTGCTTTTTATGACAGGTCATTTATTAAGAAAGAAATAAAAATGCGAGAAATACGTTCTTGTAGCATCAATATAAACTCATATATAACAACATCATATACAAGATATATAAAAAGAAGAATATGCAATGACATACTACTGCAAAAATAGGCAACATGATTGGAACTACAAACTGTAAGAAATCAATTTATTTACATAATCGTAATAATGGAATATGAATATCAGTGATCAGAAAATCAACCGCTTTTCGGTTGCAAAAATATATAATAGAAAACATAGTCCTTAAAACATTATATTACAGTCAATTAAATTTAAAACTAGCTGAAATAAGTCAGCTGCTGTTAAGTCATTATTCCTATGAAGAAGTGCGCAGGGCATTTCACGGGAAAGTATACATATGCTGGGCTAGGAAAAGAATAAAAAAAATAAATAAAAAAAAAACCCAGCCTATTTAGGCTATGAAATATAGGGGAAAAATACTGATATAAACATTTATATAACTTGTTAATACAAAAGACATACAAAGTGTGACATGTTTTGTAATAAAATTTTCTATTAGAAAAGAGAACGAAAGTAAAATAAACAAGAGGGCCATGATGGCCCTGAAGTCGCTCACCTGTATATAGCCCCCCCCCCTGAGCAAGGCCAGTTTAAACCCCAGGGCTTTTATTTGAACAAACTTGGAAGACACCCATTAGAAGATGTTTCATGGTAAACATCTAAGGTTTAGCTCGTTGGGTTTTTTAAAAGAAGATTTTTTAAGTTTTTTTTTTACACATATATTTAAAAACAATGACACCCCTGGGGCAGGGCCAGTTTTGAGCCTAGGGCTTTTATTTGAACAATCTTTGTAGACACTTACTAGAAGATGTTTCATGCTTATTATCTAAACTCTAGCTATCCGGGTTTTTTCGAAGAAGATTTTTAAGTTTTGCTATACACATATAAGGAAAATCAATGTCCCCTGGGGCAGGGCCAATTTTGACCACAGGGCTCTTATTTGAGCAAACGTGGTAGACATTAGAACATGTTTCATGCTAAATATCTTAGCTCTAGCTCTTAAGGTTCTTTAAAAGAAGATTTTTAAGTTTTTACTATATTCTATATGCATATAGGAAAAATCAATGACCCCCTTTGGCGGGGCCAATTTTGACCCCAGGGCTTTTATTTGAACAAACTTGGTAGACACTCACTAGAAGATGTTTCATGCCAAATATCTAAGCTCTAGCTCTTTGGGTTCTTTAAAAGAAGATTTTTAAGTTTTTACTATATGCATATAGAAAAAATCAATGACCCCTTGGGGCGGGGCAAATTTTGACCCCAGGGCTTTTATTTGAACAAACTTGGTAGACACCAAATTAGAAGATGTTTCATGCTAAATATCTAAGCTTTCTTTAAAAAAAGATTTTTTAAAGTTTTTACTATATACATATAGGGAAAATCAATGACCCCCTGGGGCGGGGCCAATTTTGACCCCAAGGCTTTTATTTGTACAAACTTGGTAGACACTCACTAGAAGATGTTTCATGCCAAATATCTAAGCTCTAGCTCTTTGTATTTTGTAGAAGAAGATATTTAAAGTTTTTTCTTTTGGTTGACATGGCAACCAGCGTTAAGTGGTTTTTGAGGAGATGTCATTTAAAGTAAAATGTTACGGACGGACGACGGACGGACGGACGCCGGACGAAAAGCGATCACAAAAGCTCACCCTGTCACAAAGTGACAGGTGAGCTAAAACAGCAAGTAAATATATGAATCACACAGGCTTTGAAAGACGTTGACAGAGAATTGGATATTTTAGGATTGTATGTTAGTTTTTTTACTAATGGAAGACAAAAAGAAAACACATTAATTCTTAGGAATATGATAATTAATGATAAAAATTTGTGTTATTTACGAATCAAAATTCAGTTCTAAAAAGTAATTATTGATGCTGAAATCTATAACATTTTTTTTTTCCAAAACGTGTCCGAAATGAAAGTTTGTACTATCTTTACGAAAGCCAATTAAATTTCTTTTTAAACCGGTGTCGAATTCAAAAGACAAAATTCTAGAAGTGGTACCTTCCAGATGTTCATTCCATTAAACAACAATCCTACATTAAATCTGTATTTAAATGACATGTTTTATCTTATAACGATTTACAACTTGATAAAAGTTAAGTTTGTACCGCCGCGGTCGTTTATCTCTGGAAATAGCGACCATCCCCGTGCTTGATCAAGATTTGAAATTGTAATTTAAAAAACACTGTGACAAATTGTGTAGAAGAATCTCTTCAAGAAGAAAACGTTTAAGGTTACACACTAAACCATCTAGAAAAATGCTTTTTTGTAAATAAATGAATAAATAAATAAATTAAATTAATTAATGATAAAGATTTCAATATACGACTCCTAATTCAGTTATATAAATGTCCGAAAGTAACAATTGAAGCTTTAACATTTTTTTTTGATCTGAGACGTGTCCGAAATGAAAGTTTGCATTGTTTCTACGCAAGACAATTAAATTTATTTTCAAACTGTTGCCGGATTCAAATGACAAAGTCTAGAATTAAAATTCTTAATAAATTAATTAATGGATAATTTGCTATCTACTCAACATGTTTGCTTCAATTCACTATAATTGTAAATCATTTTAAAATTCTGACTGTCATTTTAATACAAAAATAATTTAGGATCGTTGTTTAATGGAATGGAAATTAAACTTGAGGAGAGGGTTTACAATGTAAAAACAACGATTTGTCGGAATATAATTTCCTAGGATCTGCAACACCAACAGGAATACAGAAAGACACTGAACATCTGAAATGAATTCTTTTTAAAGAATTTTATTAAAAAGAAGAAGAAGAACATTTTATTGACATAAACTACATAGTTTCTCGTCATATACATATACACAAACATATTGTACATAAATTATTATATAAATAATCAAGCTCATAACTGCTAAATAATGAACATGAATAATTTTGTTACAATTGACATAGTATTTTATTGTCTGTCTAAGAACGGATGTAAGATACATATCTAAATGAAACAGTTGTGCTTCGGTATGTGAACCTTTCACCAACATATTTACGTGCACACAGAAATGTGCAAACTTTTATGAATTTCTAATAAACTGAACACATCAATCATAATAATAAAATGTATATAATGTCATGAATACTGACAATTTTCTGGTGTTTTTCGGTATTTTTATGAGCCTGGTGTTTTGACCGTTCTTGATGGTATCGTTAGTTTGAACACCCCCACAACTTATAAAATGTCATTTATATATCGTAAGATATTGAAAGAATGTTTAATGTAGGGAAACAGGGTCCAAAGATCTCAAATATCCGAGACATTTAAGTCCGAAATTCCTTTTGAGCGTTTAGACGTGCATACATTTCAGAAAGATCTTTGATATTAATTTACGAATCTTAAAATGGCCAAAAAGAAACCCTGGTTGAAGTTCGTAATTTACAAATGACCAATGAAAAAACCTACACATATTTAGTTCCTTCCTGTAAATTTTACATGAAGTTAAATTGTTCTTAGACAGACTTCGTACGCCAGCAATCGCGTAAAATAATGATATAGTCAGTGTAGGCAATCGGTATCACATAATGAATGGCGTTCAGTTTTGTAATATTTTTGGAGTGCTTTAGGTTGTAACATTCATATGACATAATCTAATAGTAAAAGGTGTCAGTTCATTTATAAACATCGCAGAATTACCAACACTGCTTTTCAAAGTTTGTCTTGAAATCTCGACATCAAATACTGATGCAGAAAAGAATAGAAATCAACATGAAAGAAATTAAATTGATTATATTAAAAACATTAGACAAACATTAAACAGTAACTACAGAAAGGTCATTTGTAAATATGAATTTAAAAACCTTCATTTAAAACAAGGTTATCTAAACAACTTGTCATTCAAGTAGTTTTGGATCACTCAAAACATATATTTCCTTTGCTTATTTATCAAAACTTATGCCAACTGATTCTTCTGCAAATGAAAACATTAGGAACGTATCATTTTTTTATTGATGAATAAAAATGTAAATGATGTGATATATTCGGATTGCCTATACATACTTTAAATTTAAGCTCAATCACATTGGACAATATAGATAAGCTATTACAGTAGGATAACGCTTGAACAGAATGATGTTTTAGATAAAATATGCTGCGGGTGAGATCCGTATTGATTCAAATATGTCCATTTGATTGAATTTTTTCTTGGTTGATTTCATCTGGAAGTTGACTAGTGTTACACCATTTTGGTATTAAATGATCTCCGTTCGGTTTACCGTCATTAAAATCGTATGCTATCATCGCTGATAGTTTCATAGCTTCCTCGCTGCGAGCAATAGCTGGAACAGTTGTAGGACATGGTATCCCGGGAGTTGAAGACGTTTCTATAAGGTGAATACCCTATCAAATAATAAAGACAATCAATATATTAATATCTTTTAATAGCTTAACTTTGACATTTTTTTCTCTAAACTGTATAATACTGTGTATTTAATAACCACATCAATACCATTGGATGTGGATTCGTAACACTTTAAAGTGTCACCAACTACTTACTTTTACGTGTGATCATCTAATGTGGCTACTTATCACCGAAATATGACTACCACACTAACTCTAATGTCCAATCATCTTGAATAACTATCACTCTAATACGTAATTATCTTGAATAACTACCACTTTAATATGACTGTAATCATCTGATATGACTACCACACTAATGTGTAATCAGGTGATACCAATAAATCGTATCATCAGCTGATGTAACCACCATTTAAAAGTGACTTCAGCTATTGTGACTACCACTTTATCTGTCATGTAAAACGTACTAATATGTGATTTAACCAGCATCTTAACATGCCATCAGCCGATGTAACTACAATTTTGGCATGTCATCAGCTAATGTAACTACCACTCATACGTGACCAGCTAGACAAATCTGACTTCCAATTTTACCTGTCATGTAAACATGTTAATGTAACTACTATTTAACATGTCATCAACTGATGTAATTACAATTTTAACATTTCATCAACTGATGTAACTACCATTTTAACATTTCATCAGCTAATGCAACTACCATTCTAACAGTTCGTCAACTGATGTAACTACCACTTAACACGTGATCAGCTCATGTAGTTATAAATTCAACTTTATCGTGTTATCAGCTCTTATGTAACAAACACTCTAACATGTCACCCACTGATGTAACTACCACTCTAGCACGTGAGAAATTAATGTGACTGACACTCTAATATACCCACAGATGATGTAACTACAATTTAAACATTTCATCAACTGATTTAACTACCACTCTGAAATGCCATCGACTGATGTAACTACAACTCTAAAATAAGTTGACGTTACTACCACTTTCACATGCCATCAGCTGATGTAACTATCATTCTAACATGTCATCAGCTGATGTAACTACCACTCTAATATGCCATCAGCTGATGTTACTATCATCTAAACATGTCATCAGCTGATGTAACTACCTCTCTAACGTGTCTTCGGTCGATGTAACTATCACTCTAACATGCCATCAGCTAATGTAACAATCACTCTGACATGTTATCAGCAGATGTAAATTCCACTCTAACATGCCATTAGCTGACGTGACTTCCACTCAACCATGAATCAGCTGGTGAAACTACCACACTGACATATCAGCTGATGTAGCTACCACTTTAACATATCATCAACTACTACTATGACGTGTCATCAGCCTCTTTAAATACCACTGTAACATGCAATCACCTGACTTTACTACCACTCTAACATGCCATCAGCTGATCTATACACCACTCTAACAAGTCACACGCTTATGTAACTGCCACTCTTATACGTCATTAGCTAATGTACGAACACGTGGCACTCTATTACGTCATCAGCCGGTGCAACTACCAATCTAACATTTCATCAGTTGATGTAGCATTTTTATGGCTTACGGCCATCTAGTTGTCAGATAAAGTTTTACGGCAACTTGTTCAGTTATAAATAATCATTTAAACTTATATCATGATATATATATCTTAGAATGTTAATATCCAGCAGCATAATTACCTGTGATGACCAATGTAACGTCATTTTTGGGGTTGTATACGCCTCCTGGTGTTTTTTAATGTCCAATTCATTAGCCCATATCGCAGGTGTCATAGAAACAAAGGTTACAAAGCGCCATCTACCAGAATTTTTACGATTCTAAATAAAGAGTTACCAAAGATTATATTCGCATATCTAAAACTATGCGTTACATATCAATGTCAAATAAAACGAACGTTTGAAAATATGTAAATAAAAGTTTGAAAGTGATGTGGTTTCAGAGATAAATGTCAAGACCATACGTACATTAGAAGTGTTGTACTAACAACTGCAAAACATGTACACAGTCATATGATATTTACACTTTAAAAAGGTTTCCTGTGGAGGAAAGTTTTAATAATTTAAAGATATTCATTTAATTTTTTTTCAAAATTGTTTGGAAAAAATAAACAAAAAACGTTTTTATCGAAAATTAGTTGATAATATATCTCATCAATAGAAAAAAGTCTTTGGAGACCGGTGACCGTCGTAGGCCTGAGAGGGTATATTTGTAGAACACCTGTCTGTAATATCCAGACGTTTGAGATTTCTCTTGGAAACGTTGTGATGATATAGACTACAATACTATTTTCCTGTTTATATTTAATCTTTATATTCTTTTAAATGCATTTGAATATTCTTTCATATACCCATCTAAAATAACCATATGTGCATGCAGTATTGATTGTATTAATTTATTTTAAAAAAAAGGTACAAAGTTGATTAACCAATAAAGTACGGTTTACAGATCACGTGCTTCTCCATGTACTGGAATAGGTAACTTGCTCCTCCATGCCTCAAAAAATAAACGCATACCAATAACAATATATACCTACCGGAAGTGGCCTTGCATTAGCATGGATCAATCTAGAATCCCATAATATCATGCCACCCTTTGGAACAGGAACACGCGTCAAACGACATTTGCAATTCTTGAAATAGTCGATGTCTTCCGTGTCAAGTCGATAGTTATGACGAAATCGTCTAGAATCTTCTGCCTTATCTGGAAATTTCTTGAAAAACTCTTCAATGAAAAGATGTGAACCTTCCATGACTTGAAAAGTCCAGTCACTTTTAGTCTGTTCTTCTAGAAAAATTGACCCCTGATATGCATGTAGACCAATTCTAGATGGAGTATAATCAACATGTAGCCAGTATTTTCTTGGATCTTGAAACTCCTCATTTCCGGACTCTGGTGGACGGCCTATAGAGACAGCGTCAAAACTAGTCAGCAGTTTCTCGGTTTTCCAAATCTGCGCAAATATAGGCTTGACTCGCAAACGGAGACGCCATGTCGTTTCCATGTGACCGATATTATGATCTTTTACAATAGAGTTAAACGTTTTTGGGAACTTGGCCCCGAAGTTTTCTAGCCATGTTCTATATTCAGCGATAGCAGTGTTACACTCTTGTTTTGTAATCACGTCTTTAACTACTGTATAGCCTTTATCATCCAAATCTTTAAAATTTTGAGCATTAAGCATTTTTAAAGATTATCTGTAAGAAAAAAAATTAAGGAAATCTATAAAAGTCACCATCACAAATATTTGCTAACTAGTATCTGTCACACGAAAATATTAACGTATTGTTTTAGTCGCAAGAAAGAGTTACCAAAAGTGACAGTCACAAGAAAATATTAACGAAATTTACACTCACAAGAATCTGTTATCTCACGAATATATAAACTAATTTCTTAAGACACAAAAGAATTTCACAATCACAAGAAACTACATGTATTTACGAAAGTCAGTGTCTCAAGATCAAGTTACAAAATTAAGATTGTAAGATTGTCAAGTTATGAGACAATATTTACGAAGCCACTGTCACAAGAAACATTAACTGTTCCAAATAAATATAAACGGAAGTTCCTGAAATTCGGACACTTCAAGTCTCTTTAAGTAATAGACACTTGTATTAATAAATTAGAATAGGTTTGACTACGTGTTTTGTTTTTAAATTTATGGAGGGTGATTTATGCCAAAATTACATGTTGCTTTCTTATGTTACATTGTGCTTTCTAACTTGTACATCGTGCTTTCTAACTTGTACATTATGCATTCTGACATATACATCTTGCATTCTGACTTTTACATGTTGCTTTCTTACATGCACATTATGCTTTCTGCTGTGTGCGACTTGCTTAATTTTATGTTGACGTCGTTATTTAACGATCAATTATTATTCATTTGTTGATCTGGTATATTGATTTAATAAATTAACCTGCAACTGTTTGTATTTGGGTCTATTTACTCAGCTTGAATGACGAATGTCATAAGGTAGAATGCGCATAGCCGAAAGCCGAATGCAGCAAGCATAATACAACGCGACATCTGGTGTAATAATATGTGACACCCAAATTATGCTAACAGGTGGCGCTACGGTTATATTCTCGGTAAAGTCCGTATTGCGGTTCGGATTCAGTTACCAAGTTACGTCCCTTTGTTTTAAAATTTCCATTTGCACTCATGGAGGAAATATACAAAACGATTTAACAAATTTTTATATTTATTAATGAAACTCTGTAGGTCAAATTATATTTCCAGCTGACAATGACAAGTTGCACATTTCCAAATCAATGGTTAAAGAATTTATTTTTATTCATCAACAAAATAATTATAAAATAGAACAGTTGTTCAACATTGTTTAAAGTTCTTTGGCCATAAAAAACTTCTTATTAAAATATTTCATCCTCTTGAAAAGTTCTTAAATTTTGACATGGCTTATTTCCAATACCTGTGACCATCCACAACATTTTTAATGTGTTTCTATTAATTAGGACATTTTCTTGCCTATTTCAAAAAAATGTCTTTTTTCACTAAGTTGAAATTATTCACTAAGATGCTTTATGAATACGGCCCCAGGTTCTTGTTCACAGTGTCAGCTTAAAAGTGAAGGAACTGCTGCCAAAATCAGCTGATTCTGAGAAAAAAAGAGGAAAAAAAGGCAAAACTGTCTAGCCTGTCAATCTGTGAGAGTTTAGCGTTAGGACGAATGATTTCATAATATTAATTGATGAGTACATAAAAACAAAATGTACAAAAAATGTCCCAAGAAATGGTTATAAAGTCAAATGAATTGTTTGTCATAGAAGATATTAATAAACATTTTTTTCTACATTCTCAGTGGTGTTTGTATTGCAAATACTATTGCCTTAAGGTATAAAACTTTTTTGTTTTAAATGAGTAAGATCTGCTATACATTTCCAATATCATGAACGCTATAATTAAAGAAAACTACTAAAAAGGCATCTTCAGCCAAACATGCAATATTCATTTTATAACCATTTCTTGAGACCATTTTTGTACATTTTGTTTTTATGTACTCATCAATTAATAATATGAAATCATTCGTCCTAAAGCTACACCACGGTGCATATCTATATCGGTACCCTCTTTGCGAAATCTGATCAAACGGTACCCTATTTACACATGCACAGGTCATTCTCTGCTAAATACAAACCAGCGATGGATAACAATCCAGTAAAATTTCAATGTAATAAGGAAAGGGGGTTTGACACGTACAAAAGATATATACCACGGAACACTAAAATGTTTTATTTATGTGCTGATTTGTCATGTGCCCGTTTTTCATGTACTGCAACTTCACAATAAGCTACAAAAAATCGACATGTCTTGCCTCGCCCATCACCTCGACATACTTTTCGGGCTGCAATGAACCGTGGGCTTGATTATATATGCATCATACATATTTAATATGTTCATTTACATATCATCTTCGGACAAATACCAGTATATTGTCAAAAATAAATGTAAAATTCATAAAAACACCCTACTATCGGTTTTGCAGCGTACCCTCATGGCACAACATATGCTTTTATTTGCGTTAATCGTTAAATAGGTATGTAATATTTCTTACTTTTATGTAAATATTACATACTTAACGATTAACGCAAATAAAAGCATATGTCGTGCCTTGTGGGTACGTATGTGTTAAAAAATGAGAGGGTACCTGTGATATAAAAATTCAAATGAAGAGAGGTAGCCCGTGCCGCTGCAAAAGAAAAAAAAGGCAAAACTGTCTAGTCTGACAGACTAGACAGTTTTGACATTGTATTTTATTTCTCAGAATCAGCTGATTTTGGCAGCAGTTTCTTCAGTTTTAAGCTGACACTTTGAACAAGAACCTGGGCCGTATTCATAAAGCATCTTAGTGAATAATTTGAACTTAGTGAAAAAAGACATTTTTTTGACAATTTGAATATAAAAAATCTAACGTGTGTACAAAATTAAAGAAAATGTCCTAATTAATAAAAACACATTAAAAATGTTGTGGATGGTCACAGGTATTGGAAATAAGCCATGTCAAAATTTAAGAACTTTTCAAGAGTATGAAATATTTTAATAAGAAGAAGTTTTTTATGGCCCAAGCACTTTGAACAATGTTGAACAACTGTTCTATTTTATAATTATTTTGTTGATGAAAAAAAAATAAATTCTAAAACCATTGATTTGGAAATGTGCAACTTGTCATTGTCAGCTGGAAATATAATTTGACCTACAGAGTTTCATTAATAAATATAAAAATTGGTTAAATCGTTTTGTATATTTCCTCCATGAGTGCAAATGGAAATTTTAAAACAAAGGGACGTAACTTGGTAAACTGAATCCGAACCGCAATTTGGACTTTACCGAGAATATAACTGTAGCGCCACCTGTTAGCATAATTTGGGTGTCACATATTATTACACCAGATGTCGCGTTGTATTATGCTTGCTGCATTCGGCTTTCGGCTATGCGCATTCTACCTTATGACATTCGTCATTCAAGCTGAGTAAATAGACCCAAATACAAACAGTTGCAGGTTAATTTATTGAATCAATATACCAGATCAACAAATGAATAATAATCGATCGTTAAATAACGACATCAACATAAAATTAAGCAAGTCGCACACAGCAGAAAGCATAATGTGCATGTAAGAAAGCAACATGTAAAAGTCAGAATGCAAGATGTATATGTCAGAATGCATAATGTACAAGTTAGAAAGCACGATGTACAAGTTAGAAAGCACGATGTAACGTAAGAAAGCAAGATGTAATTTTGGCATAAATCACCCTCCATATAAATTGTACAGATGTACTTGTGTGTACAATTAAAAAACTATTCTGATTTATGAATAAAAGTCCTTGTTATAAAGGAAAAAAAACTCGGCCGAAGAATAACTGGTTAAGTAACAAATTTTAGTTCTAAGTTTACCATGCAGTGTCATAAAGAAATGTTAGCATAGTTTGCACAACAATGACATAATAATTTTTTGTAGCGTTATTAAACTGGAAACAATGGAACACAATAATGTCCTTAACGAACCCGTCATATTTCCGTAAATGAACTAATGTTTTAACTTGGATATTGTATAAAATAAACCCAGTACCTTCTTGTGTAAAATAAACTGTTCACTAGAAAATGTAATGAGAACTGAATGCAGTGACGAATGTTTTGTGGGTGGAAGAATTGTTAAATAGAACTTAAATATCTTAGCCATTTAAACTAAAAGATAATATCCTGTTCAATTTATTTTAGAACTATCCTTTACATTTTTTTTACCATTACATTTAAATTTAGAACTATCTTAAAATGACAAGAACTATCCTTTACTTTTCATTTTAGAATGGCAAATGAGATTCCCAGATCTCATAAGTGATTTTAGAATAACAAATGGATACTCTTTCTTATTTTCAGTTCTTTCCTGTAAATTATACAGGAAGTGAAGGGCTCTCGCCGGAAAAAAGACCCGTTAAAAGGAATATTTCTACAAAAACAGATAAAAAAATTAAATAACCACGTAAGTTTTTTCAATATACCAGATAATTGTTTTTGCTATTAATTAGATAGATGTTGTTTTATCAATCTCACGAAAAAGAAATTCACGTTACAATTTTGATTCTTTAAAAAGTAGCATGCGAGGGGTCTTACAACGTTAGAAGGGCTTCATGGTTAAATAATATGATATCGTATGACGTCACGTAGGTTGGCCGTCAACAACTTTAAATCTGCGACATAAAAATAACGAAGAATAATTTATCTTAAGTATGAAAAACGTTAAATTAAAAAAAAAAGAAAAAAAATGTGAGAAACGGAAAGACGAACATTTTTATGTATTTTTCATTTTTTTTGATGAATGTTATGTGACGAAATTTTGCAATAATGGATGATGAACATTTAGCGGATTGAAACGATCATTAATAGAAATCATGATAATGTGCGTGATAAAAATAGCGGAATAAAAACCTTATCTTAAATAAGAAAACAGCTATGAGAAAGAAATTGCAAGCGACACAGCGTTTTTCAGATGAACATTGAACAACATTGAACCGACTGGTGGAGGGGAAACATTAACGCTCAATAAGGGAACTTATGAATTTTTGAAGGCGGGCTGCAGAACATTTTTACGCGGAGAGTTTCTCCACAAAATAACCGGAAGATAATTTCTGTGTATGACAAGAAAGATGGATTGGTAAAAATTAAGATATAAA